AAAAGATTCTTATCTCAAACCATAACTCAAATGTACACAACCAAACACAAACTCAAGTTACAACTTCAACTCAAGTTATAACTCAAAATCTACACTCAAGTCACCTAACTCAAAAACGGTCAAAGAACAGCCCCTAAAATTTTTCATCACCATTGAGTTTCTATTAAAATACTATCTAAATACAAATTTAAGTTTTGACTCACCCAAACACAAACTTAAATAGATTCTCAATTCAAACTATAACTTAAATGTGCACATCTAAACACAAACTCAAGTTACAACTTCAACTCAAATTATAACTCAAATTTAATTCAAGATCTACACTCAAATCACTATAACTAAAAATATAACAGAACAAGTCCTGAGTTCAAGTTCCCCCTTCAGTTATAGTTTTAAAATATATTATTTTTAAATAGCTTGAGTGTAGATCTGCTATTTACTACAATTTTCTTATTTCTCCTTTTTTTTATTGCGTTGATTTTAAAGTGGTGGAATACTCTTGTATTGAATGATAATCAATTCAGGATCTCAGATTCTCAGAGAGAGAAAGGAATTTGATATAAAATAGCTTGACTAACTTTTCTAGTTGAGAACCGGTATATTTAGACGTGGTTGAGTAATAATTACAAGTTGCAAAACTAAATAAAATTCTGTTATAACAAACTTAAGCTTAACTGACAACTTCAATACCCTCTTTTCAAGCTTAGCTTAGATTTATCTAAGACGAGCTTGTTTTTGAAACGCTCAAAAACTAGAAATACTGAGTGCTTTAGTAAATATATCCGCAACTTGATCTTTTGAGGAACACACCGAACTTCAATCTCTTTTGAAAGCACTTTCTCTCTCACAAAATGCAGATCAAGCCAAATTACTTCTGTTGCTGCAGAAGTCAAACGCCTTATACTCTACTTCAGTACTTGACCTTGCTACGACCTTTTGCTTTCTGGAGCTCTAAGTTACAAGATTGCTACCCAATGACACAGCAGCCACTGGTTGAACGTCTATCATCTGTTGAGCTTGCCCAGTCAGTATCTGAATAACATTCTAGCTGCAATCGCGAAGCTGGTTTAAAATGGAGACCAACATTTAGAGAACCTTTTTAAGTATCTAAGTACACTTTTGCAAGCTGATCACCAATGTTTCACAGTAGGAGTTTGTAAAAAACGGACTTAGCGAATTTATTGAGAGACCTATGTCTGGCCTGGTAAGTGTAAGATACTACAACACCAAAACGGTACTCCTGTAAACTGGAGGACTGTCAAACAACTTGCTATCATTTGAAAAGTATTTCCTGTTAGGACACATAGGAGTATCACACGGTTTTTTCCCCTACCATCTTGGTTTTAACCAATAGATCATGAGCATTCTTCCTTTGAGTCAGAATAAGTCTAGTACAATCTCTATGTGCTTATGTTAGAACATTAAATAGAATAGTGATTATTAGGGAACATAGAAAAGGAAAATTTTCTGTAAGTAAAACTTCATAGAAAAATTATTGAAGTGGAATTTAGAAAGTCTATTTTTTACCACATTTAATAAAATAATATCTATAAATTTGTAAAAAGTATTTCATTGAAATATATTTGAGAAGATAATACTATAAATGAAAAAAAAAATAAAAAGGATAATATCAGTTTAGAGAAAATGTAAAAAGTTAAAAGGATAATAAAATGATAGTATAAGCTTAGAAGAAAAAAAACTCAACAACACATTAACAAATTAAAAAAATCAGAAAACATGAGAAGGAAAAGAAAAGGTCAACGAAAAAGCAAAAGCACAAAAGACAAATTAAATAACTTAATTAAATTTTTTAGTAGTGTTTTAAAGGGAATTATCCTTTATATTAATATAGTAATAGATCTACACATACTTAAACAAGTTAAGAAGTTGGTTTCTAAAGAAGTCATGTGTTGACCTCTATGGATCCTCTCTCTTTTTTTTTTTTCTCTAATTTTCTTTCTCTTTTTTATTTTTAATTTTAAACTTATTTTATATTTTTCTTTCTTTCTTTTTTGCCTTTTTAAATTTCCCCCACTATTGTCTACTTATTGCCTTTAGCAGTGAGTTTTTAAATAGAGACGGATGAAACATAAGATTAAACATACAGAATGTTTCGTTTGTCTCCTTTTAAAATAGATCTTATGTTTATAATCATGACTTATTGAAATGTACTTTTGCCTAATTTAAAACGTGCATTTTGATCCTTTTGCTTTTTTTGTTTGTTCATTTTAAATCTTATGTTTTCTAATTGTGCTTTTTTAAACCTTACGCCCTAATATGCTCTTATTCAAATAATTTCAAATTTGTACATGCTTAAATATATATTTTTTTGTTGTTAATATTTTTTTTTCTATATGTATGTGTCTAAGTATAACATATTAAATACTTACACACGTAGCGCATGTTTCAACTAGTATATATAAAGACACATTCCACGTGATTTCTCATGCCTCATTTTATATTTGTTCAGGAATTTAAGCCCAAACCGAATAAAATTTTTACTGTAAGGAATAAAATTTTCATTACACAACCAATTAATTACATAATAGTCATTTGCACGTGTTAGGCGCTTGTCACAATTTTTATTAGAAACAAGACAAAACTAAAAGTAAAACGGAGTAAGTAGACTTGAATTTTCAAAAAGTGCCTATGCTCAACCCTCACATAAAAAAAATAAAAATGAAACAAGACAAAACTAAAAGTAAAACGGAGTAAGTAGACTTGAATTTTCCAAAAGTGCCTATGCTCAACCATCATATAAAAAAAAAATTAAAAAAAATCACAAAAACTACACAAAAACTAAGACTCTCACAAAGTTTAATTTCTTAAGAGAGGAAAAGAAAAACTCACAAAATTACGCAATAGACCCACTCCAAGTAAAAATTTGCAAGTACGGGTAAATTTACTGGACGTAAATGAAAAGAGACAAAAAATAATTTAGAAACTAACAACAAACCAAGTTTGCTATAGATTTTGCGTGAGACAAGAATTTTTTTTTGATACGTGAGACAAGGATCGTTGTATGTATAACTATAGCAATTGAGTTAGGTGTGTCTACGCTATTTTTTAAGGGCGACACTAAAGAGTCATGGTTGATGCTTTGGCAGGGTCTAGCAGTAACTGGAAAGTAGACTGGCGATTAAAGACTGAGTGGCTCTATTGACTTGAGATTTTCTGTCTTTTTCCTTCAATTGAGTGAAGAGGACCAAAAATATTGTTGCTTATAGACTGAATTGTTGGACTGTTTGGAGTGCTCTTTGGGGGGAGTTGTTTTCTATTCTCCCTTCTGTTTCCTCTTCTTTTATCTCTTTGTAGGTGCTTTGTGTTTGCAGGTGTTTTGCTATTCTTATTGGTTCTCTAACTTATTTATTGTGTGGAATGAATTGCTTTTCCAAAATATATATATGTGTGTAGAATATATATATATATATATATATTTATTAATAATTACTAGAGCGTTGGATGTTCTACATTAATTCATGAAGATAAAAGGTCACACAAGTAGCATGGTATAGCTATAAGCCAAATTAAAAAAAAAAAAAAAAACCAAAAAAACAAAAAAGTAACTTAACATAACAACAGTATAAGGCATAAGCTCTGTATGAGATTTTTATATTAAATATTGAAGTGCTTTTTAAGGGCAAATTATTGAACTACTTTTACCTTCACAAACACATAAAATAGTGATGTATTTGTTAAAAATAAGTGCTTATTGTTGTATTATGTGTCACTTAAGATGATCATTGATTCCATCACATCCACCTATAAATAAGCTTCCATTCAATAATTCGGTGGGCTTGTGTCGTTTGTACATTGTAATATAATGTAAAAGCTTTTTCCACACAAAAAAAAAAAAAAAAAAGGAAACAACATGATATACTCATCGCTGGAGGGGATAGCTCAGGATCTCACGTCACGTTAGAGGTACTATTTGTCACATTTTGAATTTTTACAGACCACCAAAAAGATATTGTTCCACGTGAAAGAAATAAGGATTGTCGTTAGTCGTTACTCGGCTTTTCTTCAGCAAATAATTTTTTTGCAGTTTTGACGTAGATTAAACATACAACATGGTCCAGTTGCACACACCAAGCATATCTATTGTCGTGAGGTATCAGGGACATGCCCAATGTCAAGGCATCAATAGAAATCAATTATTGGAAAAGTGATCGTGAAAATATGCTTCTCAAGAACATGCATTATTACGTTTTCTTTTTCCTTTTTAGAAGAGATAGCGCAACGGTCATGATGGTTGGTGGATGGAGGCGATGCCGCTGTAGGGATCGTCTTGGGTTGCGGAGGCCGGCAACACGTTAACGTAGGTTGCGAGGGACAACGATGGTGCAATGTTTGTTCGTGGCACAGGTGGTGGAAGGTCGAGACGCCGATAGAGTTTGTTGTCGCGGGTGCAAGACCTGGTTGATGTAATAACTTGTTGGGTGATATTATAGCAAACATAAACTTATTAGGTGGTATTCAAATACTCTAAACTGAGGTGTAATTCTCGTAACAAATATGGTAATCTCGCAGTTTTCCATTCCCAGGGAAGAAAATTGTTGTGTACATCTCCACAGCAGCCCATATTTAATTGGTTGAAGATCTGTTTCAATTGGGCCTTTGCGGGCCTCAAAGTGAGCAGGAAGGATCAAAGAGGATACCAGCACACACGCGCTAAGTGGGAGCGTACAACATGTTCCAGGTGTGCCCACAAAAAACTTCTTAAGGGAGAAACCGGACCCACTTTGTTTTATTTAATTTTTGATGAACTTAGAGAAGGGAGATCAATTTAAAAAAAAAAAAAAAGAAAAAAGAAAAAAAGCAATAAAGTCACTGATCTGTCCTTTTTCTCTTTTATTTATTTATTTATTCTTATTTCTTAATTTCTTTTAAAAAAGAAATTTAACCAATTTCCAGAATCCACTGTCAGTTCCTAATTCTTAATTATCCTAACTAAATACTCCTTTGCTCTGCAAAAATTCGATGTAATTTTCATGGCCGCCGCCGCCGCCGCTACCGCCTCTGGGCTTCGCTCGGTATATCCGCCGGCTCCGCAACAGACATTAGCTGCATTCAACCGCCGATTGAGTTAATCACTGAGTCACAGTCTCTCTTCCTTCAACACATATGGGCGAGCAAACCCAAACGCAGACCCAGACCCAACAGCCGCAACAACACCATGGGCAGACTCAGGAATCGTCATCTTCCATGGTGACCTCCATCTCCACCACCACAATTGCTCCATCGAGCACGGCTCCGACCGAACTCAGCAATGCTCCCAGCCAGACCTCTTCTCCCCCTTCCAAAATCCCCCTCCGTCCTCGCAAGATTCGGAAGCTTTCTCCCGACGATTCCGACTCCAAATCCTCTCAAGTCGTCGCCGTTCCGGAAAACCCTAAGCCCTCGCCCACCGCCGCCGCCGCCGCCAAGCCGGCGAAGGCGAAGATAGTACAGCAACGGGCCTTGGCTATTGCGGCGCCGAGGATCGTCGCGCGATCGCTGTCCTGCGAGGGCGAGGTTGAAGTCGCGCTCCGACATCTCCGTAGGGCCGATCCGCTCCTCGCTCCGTTGATCGACATCCACCAGCCTCCAACTTTCGACAACTTCCACACGCCGTTCCTCGCCCTCACTCGGAGCATTCTCTACCAGCAGCTCGCTTACAAGGCTGGCACGTCGATCTACACACGCTTCATCGCCCTCTGCGGCGGTGAGACCGGCGTCGTTCCCGAGACAGTTCTTGCCCTAACCCCTCAGCAGCTCCGGCAGATTGGGGTCTCGGGGCGTAAGGCTAGTTATCTTCATGACCTAGCGAGGAAGTACCAGAACGGGATTCTCTCCGACTCGGCGATTGTAAATATGGATGACAAGTCGCTCTTCACAATGCTCACAATGGTGAATGGAATTGGTTCTTGGTCCGTTCACATGTTCATGATCTTCTCGCTCCACAGACCCGATGTGCTTCCAATTAACGATCTCGGCGTTCGCAAAGGCGTCCAATTGCTCTACAATCTGGAGGAATTGCCTCGGCCGTCGCAGATGGACCAGCTGTGTGAGAAGTGGCGGCCGTATCGGTCCGTCGCGGCGTGGTATATGTGGAGGTTTGTCGAGCAAAAAGGAGCTCCTCCGAATGCCGCCACGGTAGCGGTCGGGGCTAATCTTCAGCAGCAACAGCAGCAACAACAACAACAGGGAGAGCCACATCAACCTCAGCAGCCACAGCTTATGGATCCTCTTAACATTCTCAATATCAGGTATGTTCCCTTTCGTTTTGTGTATAAGTTTGTTGCAAACAAACTAATATAATCCTCAGTGTAGTGTTTTGATCCTTTTCAATTATGTTAAGCTTTGCTTTCATGAATGTTCTCCTATTAGTGCAAATTTCATTACAGTTGTGTGTAAAAGTGAAATAGGATCAAAGTGTGGTTTTGTTAGTGTGGCCAGTACTCACTGAGATATGAGTTCTGTTTGCTTGCAATATGTTGTCAATGTTTGAAATGTTCTTCCATGTGTTGACAATTGCATGGTAGAGAAGGAAAGTTAGAACCTTGGGCCTTTTTTTTTCCCTGTGAAATAAAGCAAAAGCCTTCATTTGGAAATTTCGGTACAGGTGTAAGTTTATGACCTTAAAAACAAGGGAATTAGCACTCTTTTTGCTTAGGCGCCAACAACTACAGGCCAATTAAACTGCTGTTTCTTTTTTCCTTTTAAGATTAGGTGTAAACTGTTATTTCTACATTCTTGCCTTTTGTAAAGCAAAGTGGCCGGATGTACTTGTGCTTACAATTTAGGCCTCGTTCACTTCGCGGATTCGAATTTTCAATTCGAGTTGAGATGTGACATTTTCTGAGAGCTTTTCATTGTAGTAGAAAAAGTTATATGTGACATTTTTTGAAAGCTTTTTACTGTAGAAACCTAAAACTGAAAATTTAAATCGGTGAAATGAACGAGGTCTTAGATATTTTTCTTTATTCTCATTTTTATTTCCACCTTTATTGAGGAAAGGCTGTAATTCACGTGCGGTGACCGGAAAAATTGTGGAAAAGATAGAGCCACTTTCTCTAAATTTAGAGGAAGTATATGGGTATTTTCTGGTGGTAGATACATGGTCATCTTTCAACATTCATTTGTGATAGATAGAAGTATCAATAGACCCCTAAGTAGTAGGGTTCTTAAAGAGGGCAAGAGAAAAAGGATTTGAAACATGGTTATAAACTTATAGCATTATCCTATTCCTCCAGAGATTTGGACAATATTATCACGCATACGGTTCCTTTGACCTTTAACCACTGACAAGAAACCTGTTTTCCACAACCTCCAATATGCTTATCAGCTGTTTTTGGGGGACATAGTGATCTATTTATCCTATTGTTACAACTTAAGCCTTTTCAAGGAAATTAAAGAGAAGTCAGCGATATGAAGGCATCATGTAAATGTAACAAAGATTTTGAATGGTTAGTTATTTAGAAGTTCTATAGAAATGCACAGATTAACGGAGAAGAAGCTAGATGACAGTAGGCCTCTTGGCACTGTGGTAGGCCTAGATTCTTTTTAAAATCTAAAGGTTGATTCCTGTCTTAATAAAATTCATTTTGCTCTGAATGTTTTGTTTTATCCCTTTGATTCATTCCTTGGTAGATGATAAGAAAAACCATAAAGAACCCTGGATCGAAATCTCTGATGGGGCCTCATATTCCAAAGTTTATCATAGTAAGCATCAGAACTAATGTTTGATATTTCATGGGTATCTCTGTGGCTTATGATATGGTTTCTTCATTATTTTCGGCGATATGAATTTAGGACTGTTTGGAAGGTATACTTAAATAATGATTCTTGATTTCGACGTTTGAAATTCAAATTTTTTATTAGAGGAAAATATTGTAGGAGAATCAATGATTTGAGTTTGAGTATATGAAACAAACGAGTCCTTATTTATAAGCTTTAATTTCAGTCTCTTCTCTTCGAATTGCCTTTCTTGTGGAAGTTTGGATAATTACTCAGATTTTTAACTTACTGTTCATATTACTAATTGCATTACACTTTCCAGGTTTTGGATTTTTCTTCTTTTTCATTGGGTATAACTGGGACCTTGTTTTGTTCTGTGTGCAGTTCGGGGCCAGCCATGGACAACCAATTTAGGGCATGTGCCTGGGGGCAATAGCTGGAATCAAGATAAGAAGTTTGTGCAGCATTCATTTCCCATCTATCTCATCTTCTCGGTAAAAAATGATTCCGGCGGTGCAAGAATGGTACTCCTTTGGAAATTTTGGTGCTGAAAGATCGACCTTCAGAGATGAGTGTACTAAAAGTCTTCTTGGAGTAAATAAACATTGTCTTTGCTGTAGTCTTGTTGTCTAAGTAAAAAACAGCAATCATAAGTCTCGACGGGTGTCTCATAAAACTTGATAGAGAGCAGCAGCGATTTAGTGCCTTTTTACCTCTGAACATGGTTTGGCAAGCTTAGAAAATTATCTCCTATTTTCGTCTAGCGCCAGACATCCTTTGTGAATCTATGATCTTTTTTTCGCATTAGCAATGGATTAAAAGTTTCATAAACTAGGAGTTTAAGATTCTGCTCCTCTTGTTTATTGTTTTCGTTGCCAATCTTTGATACACATTTTTCACACACATTTTTCTTTTTATGAATGTTCTCTTCTTTGTAAACTTAACGGTTTAGCCAGGGTTGTCAAGGTTGTGCTAGCCTTTGTGAATTCTGCTCCTCCCAACTTTTGAGATTGTTTTCAGTGGGAGTGCCTTGGATAGCTTGGTTTCTTTCTTTATCCCAGGTACAGTTTTCACAGAAGGATCAGGCCCAAATTAATATCGTAGAACTCCCAGGCTGATCCATTCAACGGTAAATGTAGCAAATGTTTTGAAAACGAAAACAAAAAATAATGGGTGCGTTTGGAACATTTTTTTAGTTGTTTTTAAAAACGTTTTTGCATGTCTTTTAAGGTATGAAAACAAAAACGGTCTGCAAATTACATTTATTTAGTAAATATTTTGAAAAAGAGAACGAAAACAAAAAACAATGATAATAGTTTTTATGAAAAAAGTAGAAAACGATTTACGGCCCATTCGGTAATATTTTTAAAACGATTTTGCTTTGAATACAAAAGTAAAAATGAGATTGTTTTGAAAATTATTCTATAATCGATTTTAAAATTACATTTGATTGGTTTTTTAAAAGATTATTTTGAATATAATAAAAAAGTAAAAACATGTTTAGTTATAATTATTAATTAATATATTATAACATTGTTGATTAGTACTAGAAAATGAAAATAGAAAAAGGAAAACAACTTTCAACTGTTTTCTAAGGGCCCGTTTAGTTCGCGGATTCGAGTTTTTAATTCGAGTTGAGATGTGATTTTATGTGAGAGCTTTTTACTGTAGCAAAAAAGTTAGATGTGATTGTTTGTGAGAGCTTTTTACTGTAGAAAAACTCGAATTCTAAACTCGAATCAACGAAATGAACGGGGCTTAATTTCTTCACAAAAACTTTTCTCACTGTTTTTGTTTACATTTTCATTTTCAAAACATTTACTAAACAAACACGATTTGTAGATTGTTTTTATTTTCGTGTCTCAAAAGATGTGCAAAAATATTTTCAAAAACAAACAAAAATCAATTATAAACGCACCTTTAAGGTTGTTTTCTTTTTTCGTTTTCATTTTATAGTACTTATCAACAATATTATCTTAAATAATTATTATTAATTACTAATTATATAACGTATTAATTAATAATAATAATAAATAATATAGTAATATTATTTATTTAGTTAAATATTAATTGTCAAAAATTAATTATATAATATATTGATAATAGAATAATTAATAATAAGTTATTAAATAAATAACTAATTATTAATATATCAATTATAATCTATTAATTAGTAAATAGTTGATAAATAAAAAACAATAATTACTCAATTAATAATTAATATTAAATTATAATTATTAATTATGTAATTAATAATTGATAAGAAGCAATTAATAATTATTTCAATAATAATTATCAAAAATTGATCATTTGATATATCAAATAATAGAGTATTAAATAAATATTAGTAATTAATTAACTAATTATTTAATTATGTGACTAAAATTAAACACGCTCAAAAAGTCCAATTTTTAAAATGGTCCCCCTAAAAGAAAAGTGAAAAAAAAAAAAAAAAAGTTGCTAGGCGTCTGTATTTGATTAGTTACTAATTAAAAAAGATCATTCCACCCAATCATTACTAAGCAGATACTAGGAACATTGTCAGGGTCAGAGTGCATCAAAAACCTCGCAATCATCGAAACGCACTTCATCTATCTATTTAGCATATATTTTTTTTTTTTTTTTAATCACAAAAGGCAGCAAGTTCCATAAAACAACAGAAATCTCGCTTCTCGTGTGTTTCGTGTCTCCTCCTGGTTCCATCATTTCTAAATCTTCCAAGAACATAATTCGATGGAATCAAAATGTTAATCTAATCTAAACGGTATATACCAGGACAGGACGGCATGGAAGTTCACGAAACATAAATATGAACATCAACTATGAGACACTTCTCCAAACAAAAACCAATATCCAAGTGGGATATTCTATTCGAATATCTCTTTATTCCATATTATTCATTTGCTTATGCTTCACTCAGTCCAATATCAAACACCTTATCACCTTAACGCTTTCACCCACTACGTCATTCCTTTGATTATAAAATGGCCTAAAAACGAGTAATCGCTTCACAACCTCCAACATACTAAACAAAACTAAAATGAACTTCGAGAACTATGATCCTTCCTTTCCTGACCAGCCAGTGGTCGACCTCTACCTCCCAACATGGGCTAACCTCCCTGCCTTCAAGTCCAAGCCAGCCTTCATTTGGATCAAAGATAACGACTCAACCACTTCACTTTCATATTCTCAACTCAACGACTCTGTCCACTCAATTTCTTCCCAATTGCTCAATGCCCCACTACGAAGGGGTGAAACTGTCGTCGTTTTATGCTCTCCGGGGCTAGAACTCGTCGAGATCATCTTCGCTTGCCAACGAGCTGGCCTTGTGTGCGTCCCAATTCTCCCACCTGACCCTTCATTCTCTAAAGAAAACCATCACCATCTCGTAAGAGTCCTGTCACAAACAAAGCCCAAAGCCGCCATTTCTAACCGCGGTTACATCACAAAAGTCCACCGCTACATCACCTCATCAAACGACACAAAGCTAGCACACATGTTGCAAAACCTCACATGGATCGCCACAGAAGATGTCAAAGCCAAAATGGTCAACTCAAACTCAAAGTTTGACTATTCATCCTACAATGGACGCAAAGCTGACGAGGTGTATTTGATTCAGTACACCTCAGGTGCAACCGGGATACCAAAACCTGTTCTCGTCACCGCAGGATCAGCAGCTCACAACGTCAGGACAGCGAGAAGAGCCTACGATCTTCACCCGAACAGTGTGATCATGTCGTGGTTGCCTCAATACCACGATTGCGGCCTTATGTTCTTACTGTTGACCATTGTCTCTGGCTCAACCTGTGTCCTAACCTCACCTCACGCCTTTGTCAAACGCCCAAGGCTTTGGCTTGAGATGATCTCCAACTTCAACGCCACTTGCACTCCAGTCCCGTCTTTCACATTGCCACTAGTCCTTAAGCGCAGCGGGATCGAAAAAAGAACATCTGACATAAATTTACACAGCTTGAGAAACCTTATCATCATCAACGAGCCAATTTACACGTCCACGGTGGAAGATTTTCTCGATGTGTTTAGGCATTTCGGTCTAAACCCATCCTGTGTTTCTCCTTCCTACGGCTTGGCCGAGAATTGCACGTTTGTTTCAACCTCATGGAAATCATTAGGAAACTACAAAAAGGATTCTCCTAACTTTCCATGCCACAACAAGCTCTTGCCAAGCGCGAGGCTCGGTTCTCGCCATGGACTTGATTATCATGACAATGAGGACATGGAAATTGTGATAGTAAATGAAGAGACACTTGAGCCCGTTGAGGACGGAATTGAAGGTGAAATCTTGGTCTCTTCACCGAGCAATGCCTCCGGTTACCTCGGACACCCTTCTTTAACTCACGAGGTGTTTCATCGGAGTGTACCAAACAAAAGGGCGAACCGGTGCTTTGTCCGAACCGGCGATAGAGGCATTGTCAAAGGAGAAGAGAGGTTTCTCTTTGTGACCGGTCGATGTGTTGACGTTATTAAGCTGAAAAACAATGATGAAATCCATGCGCATTATATAGAAACAGCTGCATATAATAGTTGTCCACGGTTTCTCAGAGGAGGCTGCTTAGCTGCTTTTAAGGTTGGGGACATAATAGTGCTTGTGGCTGAGATACAGAAAGATTATGAGAAACAGAATGGTAATTTAAAAAAAATATGTGAAAGTGTTAGGAGGGGTGTTTTGAAGGATGAGAGAGTTGAAGTTGGATTGGTGGTGCTAGTTAAAAGTGGGTGTGTTCCAAAAACTACTTCTGGTAAAGTTAAGAGATGGGCAGCTAAAGAGAATCTCATTGGAGGGAAAATGGGGTTGGTGATGCAGATGCCGTTTGGTGTGCTGAGGACAAAGGTTGATGAAGGAGAAGAGACGGGAAAAGTGGGAGTGGAGAAGAAGGAAATGGCAGTGGTAAAGTGGGAGGAAAGTCGTCTTTCCTTTTCAAGTGTTCCAAATCGTCCCTCTTTGCTCTCTCTCTTGTGACGCGATTTTGGAGGTCATCATTTTACGTGTTACTTGTTAGAGTGGTAAAGTGGGAGGAAAGTCGTCTTTCCTTTTCAAGTGTTCCAAATCATCCCTCTTTGCTCTCTCTCTTGTGACGCGATTTTGGAGGTCATCATTTTACGTGTTACTTGTTAGGGGGGGAAAAAAAAAGGTCCCAAATATGTCATTTTTATGTATAGTATATAAGTATTAATCTCGTTTAGTCGTATTGTGTGTGTGTATAAGAAGTAATCAACTTTTGGTTGAACGACATTGCCTATTCAGTTTTTCATTTATTTTAATCTAATGGTTTAGACTTAAAAATTTTCTTTTAACTTAGTTAAAATACAATATTTTAGCTTTCTTTTTTTTTTTTCTTTTTTTTCTTTTTTTTTTAAAAAAAAAAAATGGCTTACATTTAGTCCACATGCCTTGTTCCTTTTCTTAACCAAATTTGTAAGCCCAACTTTTGCAGTTGTAGAAATTCTTCTTCATCCACCAAATAAGTTTTTCACGTGTTACTTTATTTTTTATTTTTTACTTTTCTTTGATGTTTACAGTGAATCACTCGGTATTTATTTCAAATGAATATACTTGAGCCACCAAAACACAAATTCAAGAAATGTATGAATTCTTAGAAACTAAAATGCAAGTTCTTGATGCCGCTGATCAACCTCTGCAGTAAATACAATGACCTACAAACTCTAAAATCAAATTTTCAAATAAAGGCAACCAAATTTAGAACAAAAGAATTAACTTCATAGTCCTTCCCTTTTGAATTTTGGAATATAGTTCGAAAATATCAATCTATCAAATTATTATGTATGTGAACTAAATGACATATTTTGTAACCATTAACAAAACACCAAATGCGCTGTATTTTTGTCTTTAAAAAATGAGTTGTGTTTTGTACTTCTTACTCTTTTTTTTTTATTATTGCATGAATTACATACTTATGTTATGAGCTTCTGAAATATTATAAAACTTGCAGTACGTACTAAACATAGCTCGTAAGATGAATCAAAGGTTTCCAATAAATAAATAAAGAAGAAAAGAAAAGAAAAGAAGAAGAATCATTTGGGCTTCTCGCCGTATTGAGCATGGAGAAAAGCAAACTGGTGAAGCCATGATATTGGGCCTCATGAGGTCCAACTAAACGCTAGGGACCTTGCTTGGAATTGGGTTTTATCGGTACCCACGGGATTATGAATTTTGTGGGTCCCCTGTAATTTCGAAATCCAGATCCCATGAATAATATATTAAATTAAAATACACGTAATACAATGTTTCAAAGTCAAATTTCTTTCTAATGATTGGAGCATTGGTTCGGTCATATGCATGTCCTTAACTGGATTGCTTTTCATTACAAAAAATTTGCTGAATTTATTCTATATAGTTTGAATTTTCAATTCTTATTTTTAATTAATATCTTTTTAATTAATATAATTATTAAATTAAAGACATTATTAATAAAAAAAATAAGAAATAAACACTCAGGTTCATAGAAGATATTTTTTTTCTACTATTATATTTTTTTTTTGTGTTTTATTCCACTGAAAAATATCTTGATGGAAATATTATCTATATATGTTAAAACAAAATATATAAACCTATTTATTTTGCGGAGTCAAATTATTGTTTACTTTTTTGTTACAGTATTTTATTAGTTAATTTTTTTTCCCATTTACGAATCAAACACGAAAAAATATTGAGTTGTACTCTATTTCTTCAAAAATTAAAGGAAAAAAAAAACAAAAGAACTCCTCCACCTAAAAATTCTCCATAATTAAGTAACAAAATTATTATTTGAACCATTAGATTCTTTTACTTGATTAATATGGTTAATGATAAATTTATCGTTATGTTGTCCAATAAGTACACTTATCATTAAAAACTTTTCTAATTATGTGAAAAATGCTTGGACAATATCAATGCTAAGTAAAACATTGCTAGAAGGTGAGCAAGATCTGTGGACTCTGTATCATGTCATGCACATACACCCCAGGTGCGGGTGCCTCTAATATTTTTCTAACTACAACTTGTGATGAGGACTCACGGATTCAAGCACATGAATCAACGGTTTACAGAGAAATAATAATCAAACAAGAAATACGAAGGCAAAAATAATTGCGGAAAATATAACAAAGAAAGGGAAGAATAATGACACAAAGAATTTATCCAAGTTTGGACCTCAATATGAGATCTTATGTCCTGCAATATGATGCTTTCGTCTACTATCATGAATCACAAGTAATTACAAGAATGATATAAGAGTACTCTCTAAGAAACTCTTCTCAGTTCTCTCTCACTCGTACTCTCCAATATAATTATTCTCTCACAATCCCAATTGAAGAATGATAATTACAATTAAGTTTCTCTATGTTTCATTGCCCTTAAATAACCCTCAAGGCCCTTTGTATAGTCTCTAAGTCTCCTAAAATTAGTTCAGCAAGTTTCCCTTTCTAAAAACAGAAAGAAAATCTCCAAAAAACAGTTTCTCGAAAACATCCAGCGCTGCGGCGCCATTCCAGTGTGGCCGCAGGGTCTAGGCTGAAATTTGGCCATACGGGCACTGCAACACCAAGAACTGGCACTACAGTGCCCCCTGTTACCCACGTGCTGAACGATGCCGTTCGCTCTTCGTACCTCTATTTTTCACGCCATTTCTTCCCACGATCAAATTAGAGACACCCCTTCACAAATCTCCACCTTGGATCTAAGTTGAATCGGAAACCAAGAAACACCACACAGTAGACTTCCACAAACAATCTGCTCTAGTTGTCATTTGCCGCAACATTGATCAAGTCCAAACAATGTTTGAACTTAATCCCTGTCACAGGCTTCATCACCATATATGTTGGATTCTCATCCGTATGAATCTTTTCCAATGTCACAGTCCCTCGTGAGACAATATCCCGAATGAAATGAAGCTTTATATCTATTTGCTTTGTCCTCTCATGAAACATTTGATTTTTGGTTAAATGTATAGAACTCTGATTGTCACAGAAAACCTCCACCTTATCTTGCACAATTCCCAACTCACTGATCAAACCTTTCAACCACACAACTTCTTTAACACCTTCTGTGGCGGCTATATACTCGGCCTCTATTGTAGACAACGCAACCACTAGTTGTAGTTGTGCTTTCCAACTCACTGTGCTCCCGAATAACGTGAAAATATATCCAGTCAAGGATTTCCATTTGTCCAAGTCCCCTGCAAAATCTGCATCCATATATCCTCTAAGCTTCTCACCACCATTCCTCATCCACTTGTAGAGCAAGCCAACATCCGAAGCCCCCTTCACATACTGAAGTACCCATTTCACCGCTTCCAAATGCTCCTTACCTGGATTGGACATGAAACGGCTCACAAGACTTGCCGAATACGCTAAATTTGGCCTCGTACAAACCATTGTATACATGAGACTACCAACAACACTTTCATAACGAATCTTCTCCACACTTGCCTTCTCCTCATCGGACTTTGAAGACATTCGTGTAGATAACTTAATGACCCACCAAAGGTGTTTACCCTGCCTTCAACTCCGACATGCCGAACTTTTCTAATACGTTCTGGAGATAACCACATTGAGACACAAACAACATACCTTGCTTCTGATCCTGAATGATCTCCATCCCCAATATCTTAGCCAGCCCCAAGTCCTTCATCTGAAACTCATTCCCTAACTGCTGCTTTAGCTTTTGGATTTCTCCTTTATCTTTTGATGCTATCAACATATCATCTACATACAAAGGTAGAAACACCCCCAAGCCTTCTCTAACCCACTTGACATAAACACAACTATCATAGTTGCTATGCACAAACTTGTTCTTTAACATGAACTCGTCAACCCTGAGATACCATTGCCTAGGAGATTGCTTTAAGCCATAGAGAGAGTTTCTAAGTAAGCATACATTTTCCTCATCTCCACTTTTGACGAACCCTTCTAGCTGAGCCATAAATATTCTCTTCTCAAGATTGCCATGAAGGAATGTCGTCTTCACATCCATTTTCTCCAGTTCTAAGTCAAACTGATTAACGAGCGCAAACAACACTCTAATGGAAGTGTGCTTCACCACTGGCGAGTAAATCTCATTGAAATCCACTCATTCCCATTGTGTTAACCCCTTACCTACCAATCTCGCTTTATATCTAGGCTTTTTCAATCCCTTAATGCCTTCATTTCTCTTGAAGACCCATTTACAACAAACAATCTTTTGATTCTTTGGTTTCTTCACAAGTACTCATGTCTCGTTCTTGTCAAGCGACTCCATCTCCTCTTGCATTGATTGCTTCCAACATTTACTATTATTACTTGCAACTGCGTCCCGATAACTCTTTGGTTCCGAATCATCTATGTCTTCTGCAGTAACCAAAGTATAGGATACCAAGTCTGCCTACCCATAACAAATTGGTGCTTAATGAGCTATCCTCGTCCGATCCTTGCCAATTGATAATAGTCAAGACTATCATCCGGAATACCGTCTTACTCTTCTACCTCCAAGTGATCCTCTTCATTAATCACAACTTCATCATCCCGTTCCGTACCATTACTTCCTAATAGCTTCACCTCAATCTCAACCCTTTCTTTATCATAATTATCCATGCCACCTTCATCGAACCCTCCTTGAGTCGCTGTTGCCATGTAGTACTCGGGATCTCTGAAAACTACATAATGACTAATAAAACTTTTCAATGTGTTCCCATATTTATACTAGAGCTTATAACCTATAACACCTTCTGGGTATCCCACAAACACACACTTCTTGGCTCTAGGATCGAGCTTCCCTTCCTTTTAGTGTGCATAAGCAACACACCAAAATACCTTCAAATTCTCAAGATTTGGTGGATGACCGATCCACACTTCTTCTGGTGTTTTGAAATTAATTGTCGCCGAAGGACACCTATTCACAAGGTAGGCCGCCGTGTTAACAGCTTTTCCCCAAAACCTCTTAGGTAAACAAACTTCTATCAACATATATCTCACCATTTCCAAAAG